TATTCATAAAGTAATAATATATACAATTATAATTGTGTATAAATTACGCTGGTAAACTTTGCTCTGACTTGTATCATACTCTAAAAATTAAATAATAGGTTCGCGATAGCTAAAATATGTGATGACCATTTTTTCTCATTACTACAGTATGATTTGTCATATTTAGTTTTGGTTTTGAAGACTATATTTATTCTTCGGGCTTTACCCGAATAAGCGTTACATAGCCGAGACGACTCAATCTCATGCAAAGTGCGCCTAAAGGAGTTTTCACTTCAAAAATCATCGATAATTTTTTTTTTGTTAACAATTTAAATGAAGAGTAACTTTTTTTTTATATAAAGTTGTTATTGAATATCGTCGTTTTATTGCAAAAATTCACTGAGTCATTGTTGATAGAGCTAAACTTTTTAAAAAGTTTAAGTGTATTTTGAGCTTATTTATGGATTAAAAAACACACAGTAACTACACCAAAATGAAATATACTCTTTTATCAAATATAGTTCATAACAAGTGCACAATGTTCTGTATTAGATCTTGTATGATTTTTTGTAATAAGCCGAATGTATATAAATTATAATATGAATAAAAACGACCTAAAGCTAATATTAATAATGATACACAATGCTTACGATAGTAAAGGTGGCACCCTGGAAGAGATAAAGATACATTTTGGCATTTTATAATTTCACGAATTTAAATAGAAATATACCCCACAGCATAATTTAATGCTTCGATGAGACCATAATCTTTTTGTGATACGGAGTGCAAATGTCAAGATAACAATAGTTAGAGATATACGAAACATACTATTCTGTATTTGTTTAGTGGACTGATAACGTGAAAGAAGGACAAAAACAATCGCTATTATTTTCAGGACAGAGCTCGAAAATTTCATTTATAGCTTAGATAATTGTTAATCTACCATCTTGATTTAATCAAGCGACCGTCGTAAATGGCAAATTTGTAAATGCATTCCTTATTTAACTGTGCTATCTAACTGATTTCGAATTAAAGCACTAGCTAGCGGATCCAGGATTTAATTTTTTTTTTTGGGGGGGGGGGAAGGCGCTTCAGCCCGAAAGCTTTTTTTTCATAAAAATAACGATAATTACTTTGTAAAAAAAGAAAGAAACCAACTACCTATATGAAATGGTGTTTAAGCGATTCCTAAAGCCCATTTAAATATAATTACACGAACAATAATACTTTAAGAGATAATTTTTGAATATTTTTTTCCATAAAACATGGTTATATTTTACCATTTTGGAGGGGGTAGGGCTTCAGCACCAAAGCCCCCCTCCGTAATTCCGTGAATTGAAGTGTACACAAAGTGTGTTAATTTGATGAGCTAATATGATACAAACAATATTTGATGGATCAAATTGAAAAATCGGAACTACACGAACATTATAATATAAGAAATTATAACAGAAGAGATTAAATAAAATTAAAATAAATGTTATGAATAAAAACTCATTCTGCAATCAGACTCATATCAACCTGAAAGATTTTATAAATGTCTGAAAGCACATAGACTGGTATAAAAAAAAAATATATTTGTACAATAAAACGTGGATAGTATTGTTAAACAACTTAAAATTAAATTAAAATATCTAATTAGCGATAACTATTCTACACCGAGGATTAATGTTATAGTACAAAAAATAAATAAAACAAGAATCTACAAAATAAATTCTTAAGTATTTGAAGAATATGCTGATAAACCAGGTAAAACAAAAATGGTACGGACTATTCCCGTTTAACTCTGTATAAAGTACAATATCATAGGCAAAACTTAAGTAATTTTGCATGAAATTTTACAAGAAATTAATACAGTAACTAACTGTACCACGCACAAAAAGATTTTCTGTACAATCTTTGTTTTCTTCTTCTTTTTGTGGATTTATTTCTTAATCGTACTCTTTTCCACCACGAGTAGTATGAGGGGAATTTTTATTTTACTGAAATTAAATTTGAAGTTTACATAAAAACTATTTATAAAGGAATCTAAAGCTATAAAGATTAGAAAAGAGAAAATTCCCAGCGTTGTGAGTATTGGTCAGAACTTAATTTATTATCGTCATTATTTTGGCAAACATCGCTCGATCATAACTGTTGGCGTATTTCACCTGGAGGTCAACAAAGGGTCTCTTGTACACAACCCCAGGAGGTATCCATAAAAACGTTCCTCAATGAGAAAGCTAAACTTAATCGATTTGTTCGCCTTTATCCAGGGATTAAGAAATAAACCAATACAAGTAATCAAATATCAAGCATCAGAGCAGATATTTCAAATATACATCAATCAGAACTGATATGTACATCATATGGATGTTTAAACATTAATCGGAATAAATAAAATAACAGCTTAATCTACATTAACTTATTTATATTCTTTTATAATATCAAGCTTTCGCAATTCTGCGATTGTCTTAAAAAATGAATATTATTGCAGACGGTTTTATGAACGATAAAAATACTTTTACAGATCTTGACAGCTTTCTGAAACAGTGGTTGGAAAACTAAAATTAATATTAAGATAATTATCTCATAATCATTCCTTCAGATGCGTAATCTAAGAGGAATTTGCCGCTTCAAATCCTTCTATATATTAGTTTTAAATAATCACTATAATTTTATTTTTAGAACCATTATTCACTCAGATGTTGGGAGGCTCTCTCCCCCAAAACGAATTAAATAGTGACCGGATCTTACTTGAATTGGTCCAGAAGATAAGCTTGATACTAAGCCATATCTTCTGTTTTTTTCTTCTGCGTGTGTGACTTCTGGTCAAACAACAGTAATTCAAGTCATGGTTACACTCTCCATCCAAGGACAATGGCGCACATGCAACACCAACTTTGAGAAAGTTTATTGTTATTCTCTTCTTAAAAATCAGTTAAATTAAAGGTAGAATTATAAAAGTTGTTGTTTATATAAAATTAAAATAGCTATGATGTCCATCTTTCCCCTCTAGTTTCCTGATTATCCTAAGACCGTTTTTTAAAGGCCACTAAAGAAACGCATTGATTCATACCGGAAGTTATAAGTTAATCTTGCTGATTGATAACAACAATTAACTGGTGATAAGTGTATGAATATATAATGTTACAAATTTTGAAGTTTTGAGAAATTGATAAATATGGTAGATGTTTTTTTAGTGTAATTTTTAAAGATATAGTCTATTCAACCTAGTGAAAAATCATGCGATTAACCAAGAATCTTGTTAATTGAAGTCAATGGACAATGTATTTATTTCGATCAAGAATCGGACACAAATTTAATCTCAGTCCTCACCTCTGGTGTAAATAATACGAGGCAGACATCATCCGCCAGTAGAAACCCTGTTGTCTGCTGATGCAAAAAATAAAAATTCCGGACTTATTTTATATTGACACTAATGTTATCAGAAAAATAGGGACTACATTCAAAGCAATACAAGGAATCTCGAACTAATTCGAGAACTAAGTATCTAGTTCTTGAATTTTCGGAAACTTGTTAAATAACACCTTCATCCAATCAATTGGTGTTTGATTAATAGGTATTTTTTATTGTGGAAAGCATTTTACGTATTATCTCTTAGGAAAATTAACTGAAAACAAAAATAACACATTTATATGGTAGGAGAGCCAGTAAATCCAATTACTTAAAGCAAGGGGGTTAACGGACCTAATCTGTGTTATATCCTGCTAAGTCAGAGTGTGTACAGTATTTTTTTTAAAATAAGGTTTCAAGAATTAATAATCGAAAATATTAGTAACCATCATTAGGAGGAAAAAACACCAGATATTCAACAGGCATTTAAGGAATTAATTCTATCATGATGGCTTAATTTGTTATTTTGCAAAACATTCCAGAATTAGCATTTAATTAAGGTTAAGGTTTTTGTTGAAATAGGTTAAATACAAACACATTATGGATCATTCTTATAGTATGAGCCACTGTAGATGATATTTGTTCAGACTTTCATTTTTTTCAAAACTTAATGTTAAATTCCATACGAAATAGAATGTAACCATTATCCATCCGTCACTTATTAACTAGTATTTTTTTTCCCTCTTGTATAGTAACCCTATGTAGGAGTAGTTTATTTGCTGAATTTTGCATACTTCATGTAAATTCGCATATTTGAAGTATGAATGTTGTTTAGTTTACAATTCAGTTATGCTACTTTTTTTTAGCGTAAATTTTTTAAAAAATGGTTAGAAAAGAAATAGAACAAAAAGTAAAAGCAATCAAGCCTTAAAAATAAACGTAAAAAACCAATACTTAACCATTTAGATAATATAATCATTTACTTTTTACCTCAAGGCCAGTGAACTTTTTTTATTTCATTTTAATCAATAAATCATGGATTTTATTAATTCATATTGTAACAACAAATAAATGAATTATATAAGCTTGATCTCAGTTTACATGAAAAATTGTTATGGGCAGGGGAAATAAAAATATAAAGAAACATGTATACTTAAAAAGAACATAGATGACAAGAAGGCATTATTTTTTAAAGCTAAAAAAAGGGAAATACAAATTCGATCGAGCCTTAACTGCAACGTACACCTTATTAACAGTTAAGAAACAGTCAAACTCAGCGAGAACCGTAAACAGAAGATAAATTTAACCATAAGTTAATTGTTTCCTTATCGGAAAGCAATTGATTGTATAGAAATTATATACGCAGTCAACACATTCCTCAGTCAGGAATGTTTATAAATACTACGCTCGTTTCTTACCAGCTCTGGAGAATGTATAAAAACTTCTATAAAATTACTACATCAATAAATAAAAGATTATTTTTTGGAACGGTTATAAATCTAATATAAACTACCTTAATTTAAATTAATTAATAGTGATATACTATCTTTATGTTTTAGAAGTAACCACTAAAAAATATTAAACATGAAATATTTAATACCAGAAAAACAAATATGTAAACAAAAATCGACTAAAATATCGACACAATATTCCTAATCTAAATCGGAAGTAGTAAATTTAGTGACCTTCAAACTTCCTGTGAAGAATTCCCTTCGAAGATGCTTTGTAGAGGTTATTTATCACTGTTTAACACATCAGTTTATAACTAGAAAAACATTAAAAATAGTTTTCTCAAGCATTTCACTCACGAAGCGAATATAACTCACAACACATGCATGTTTTAAACAGAACTGAGGTTGCCAGATCAGTTGTGGGATACGACCGAAAGCTGTCGAACATGGCCGATGATTGACGAGTCCAAGAATACTCCATGGCCTTTCCCCTCCACTGCTTTCCCTTTCTCCATAATTGTGATATCCTTGCATACAGCGTATCAATTAAATTAATCGAATAGCTCCTTAATGCCGCTAATATTTATTGCTAGGTAATGACTCGTACCCAAAACGTTTGAAGTATTTTCCAGATCGAAATGTAGAAATTACTTAATTGACCACTTATTATTAAAATTATTTCTTTACTATATTATGAATTATACATTCGAATCATTTTCTCAATTAACTGAAATTTTATTTAGTTAGTTATTTTGATAGTTAGTTTATGATAGCTTCTATTAAATTGTATATGTATTCCATCATTCAATTATTAATTGCACTTCATTGCTAATGCCTTACTATTAAGTTTACAAATATATTTTTATAAATGTTTTATATACTCATTTAAAAAAGTATTTTTTTTATCCATTTCTAGTTTAAAATTCATTTATTAGGTTTTGCCCATATTTGATATTGAATATTTATAAACTATAAATACTCTTAAAAAAGTTGATTTTTCCAGCAATGTTGGATTGGGTAGCTTTGTTGAATTAATTAGTTAATTATTTAGCTCATTAAACTTATCTGTAATACTTGTCAGTCTTATGACTTTTCTGATTATAAATGAATGTATTTAAACTTGCTGTTTTTACCCTATCACATTCTGGTTTCCTATAACCTTTAATCGCCTAACAATCTGTAAAACGAATAAAACAATAAAAAACTAATTGAGTACCCTGTGAACTTGTTAATGTTCTAAATGAATGAATGAATACTCTCTTAATTTTGAGAGATCTGTTAGTTAAGAACTTATAAAAACGTAAAAAAAAAAAAAAAAAATACTATCAAACTTTTTTGTGACCATTACTGATTCCATCAAAATCTTAAAATCTATTAGAAAATTAATAAAGTGATTAAATGCATGCTGAAAACTGCTGAAAAACTTCTCCTATTTATTTAGACTGTTTTTATGTGGTGCAAAGATAAGAGGCAGTAGATATGATAATATGACCGATTTGGCATTTCAATTTTCCAAATTTTATGAGCTCCATTACAGTCCTGTAACCAAAATATTGAAAAAAAAAATATATATTTGATTGTTTAAATGGTGTGAATTATTTTTAAAATAATACGTTTTTCTGATATTTGTATTGTAGGACTATTTTAAAACTGATAAAATTAGGATACTTTTATCTTGAAAAGTCAGTCATACTTTCTACCTTTTACTTTTACACAGCAATTTTAATGTTGGTGACATCAGTCTTTTTTACATACTTTTATTTTTTCATTTACTGTATTTTATAAAAAACAATATTTATAGGTATGTATCGAACAGCAACTAGGTGTAAAATTATTGAGATTATATGCATAGCATAGGTGCAAACTTTCCATTCTGGTTGGGATGGCGATGAACCCATACAAAAATTTTAGGGAGTTTATGTTATGTACAAAAATTATGAGTTAATAAAATTAACATAATTAATTAATTATTGTAAAACGAACAATATAAGATAATATATGTAGAAATAAATTTACATACATAGTGTCTCAGTTCTTAGTGGTCAAACACTTCCAGACAACATTTGCAACAAAAAAGTTCATTTGATATTTTGGCCAATTCCGAACGGAAAAGTAGTTAAGACCAATTTTGTGTTTTTCTTAAGGTTGTCACGGTTATTATTGAATAAGAAGGAATTAGTCAAAAACTGTTCAAGATGATTAAACTCTAAGTACACCATATTAAAGCAGACAATTTTTTTTTTGTTGAGAAAACAGTGATTAAATTTACTAAGGTCAATGACAAAAGGAACTTTCAGGAGCTCTAACATGACAACAGTACTGCTGCAGTCATGAGCAGCATACCTCTGTACAGTGGTCATATTAGAATAGGTCATATCCTGGAAGTCCCTTTTATTATTGACCTTAGTAAATTTAATCACCGTTTTCTCCAAAAGAAATTGTATACTTTAAGATAATGTACTTAGAATTTAACTTGAGATTTTAAAATTATTTTAATTATCTTGAACAGTTTTTGAGCAATTTCTTCTTATTCAATGAAAATCGTGACTATCTTAAGGAAAACACAAAATTGGTCTTAACTCCTTTTCCATTCGAATAGGCCTATGCATCAAATTCCCCAGAGTTTAGCCATTAAGAAATGAAACACCCAGTATATGTAAGTATGTATATATATATATATATATATATATATATATATATATATATATATATATATATATATATATATATATATATTAGGTGCTGATATATTTGAAAATATGTTAACAAAGAAATTGAATATATTATATATTTTTATTTTTATTTAAAGGTTTAGAAATCAGTAAAAAAAAAATCAATGAGATGAGCTCTCAATCCTCCGATGCTTCAAATTTGTTGCAGGAAATGTGATCAAATCTTCACATAAAATAATAGAAGGGTGTACATGAATGAATCATAAAATTCTATGACGTGTCACTACATACAATTATCATTGAATATAGTAATATACACCTTTATTGGAACTTGATAAAAACAAGAACATGGAGGATATAGAGGCATTGCGCCGCCAAAATGAAAGTCGGCTGTTTTTTCAGAGAATAAACGAGGGTAGGGCAGCTTTCAGGCCCAGAGTGACGGCATGCAAAGACACGAATGGATCTCTTTTAAGCCACAAAGATGACGTACTAAGGAGATGGGTACAACATTTTAAAGACGCATTAAACAGAGGAACGGTGCCTGGAGAAGTAGGAGTAATGAAGGAAGACTCCCTGAATTCTATTGAACCCCCGGATGAGGAGGAAATGGAAAATGCCCTGATGAAATTGAAAAATGGAAAGGCGCCAGGCCCGGACGGAATCCAGCCAGAGCTGTTGAAATGTGGAGGTGAAGAACTTAAGAAAGCTCTGCATGATTTAATGCTGACCATCTGGGAGAGGGAAGCTATGCCTACGGAATGGGCAACAGCCATTATCTGCCCAATACATAAGAAAGGAGATCAAACAGAATGCACTAACTATCGTGGAATCTCACTCCTTTCGTGTGCTTATAAGCTGCTCTCTAACATTCTTTTTGAGAGGATTCTCCCGTATTCTGAAAAGGAACTGGGGAAATATCAGGCTGGATTTCGAAGAGGACGCTCAACCACTGATCAACTGTTCTCTCTGAGGATGATCCTAGAAAAGACTATGGAGCATAAGGTAGTCACCCACCATTTATTCCTAGACTTTAAAGCAGCATACGACAGCGTTGATAGAACGCAACTATACTGTGCCTTGAAGGAGCTAAGCATCCCTCAGAAGCTCGTACGCCTAATCAAGATGACCATGGACAGCTCGAGATGTATAATACGTGTCGGTTCTGACGACTCCGAAGAGTTTAAAGTGAGCAGTGGGGTTAGGCAAGGGGATGCCCTCGCCTGTCTATTGTTCAACTTGGCAGAGGAGAAAGCTGTAAGAGACTCCGGTATTCAGACCAACGATATAATCTTCAATCGCCTGACACAGCTTCTTGGTTTTGCTGATGATATTGACATAATAGGTAGGTCTGAACAGGCTCTCAGAGAAGCGTTTATAGGCCTTGAAGCAGCTGCAAGACCACTTGGTCTAGAAGTCAACGAGAGGAAAACTAAGTATATGAGAGTTGGTGGTGAGGTGGATCTGAACTCTCCATTTGAGGTAGGTTCTTTTAAGTTTGAGAGAGTGAAAAGTTTTATATACCTTGGGTCTGAAATTAATAGCAAAAATGACATGGCTCAAGAAATACAAAGAAGGATCACGGCTGCCAATAGATGTGTCTTTGGACTTGGCCGACACTTAAGAAGTAGGTACCTCTCAAAGAAGACCAAGCTGATCATATACAAGACTCTTGTTCGGCCTGTTTTGACATATGGCTCAGAGGCTTGGACGATGACCAAAAACGATGAGATGAAGCTGAGTGTGTTTGAGCGAGGAGTCCTCAGAAGGATTTATGGTCCAGTAAAGGAGGGTGATGTCTGGAGGAAAAGAAAAAATAGGGAGCTCAGTTCTCTCTATGCAGACATCGACGTAGTCACCTATATTAAACTGGCCAGACTAAGGTGGGCAGGGCATGTGGCCAGAATGAGCACCGTTGAGATACCCAAGAAAATAATGATGGAGGAGCTGCACCTCGCAAGACGAGTAGGAAGGCCGAGGACGAGGTGGTTGGACAACGTGGCCTATGATGCGAGAACCCTGCTTGGTGTACGGAACTGGAGAGCTGCAGCAGAAGACAGAGCCAACTGGCGGAGGCTCTTGGAGGAGGCCCAGTCTCGGTAACGGGATGTCGTGCCACACATCAATAAATGAATGATAAAAACGGTTTAGTAAATTAATAGTGAACTGTTAAAAGGCAAGCTAATCTAGTTCAGCTAATGTCAGGGAATGTTTAAATTTCAAAAATAGTTTCACTAGTTCAGGGAAAAGAAATTGGCTGCTCTGTAGTTTTCCCAGAATGGAAAATCCCAAAGAGAGGATATTATGAAGTTTATTGTTATTATAAATAAAAAAAACTCACGGTTAGAAAATATATATTGAAATTTAATATATATAATACAAAATGTGGTATTCTATTCTTCTTAATTATCTTTCACTTATAAAATAACTATAATTTTTTAGTACGGCAGTTATGAAAAATTTTAAATCTATATATAAATTTTTTTAAAGAAAACTTCCTAGTCAATACTTAGCTTTGGACTATAGTTTTCTAATTGACAAGAAACAGTCTCACTTTACAGTTTTGAAATTAATATAATTAATTCAATTTATGTACATTTTTTTTACTATTTTTCTGAAAAATCAATTGACTATCAAAGATTCAGACAACTTTAATTATAAGGAAGAATTTCATAGGACTAAAAAAGAATCATAATAAAAAATGTTTTTTATTTACATGCATACATCACTGATGAAAATGTATAAATCGATACATATATATTTGTGATTACAAATTATTAAAAACAAATTGTCAACATTATGTTCACTGTAGAGCTTTTTAATGCCTACATCACAAAATACACTTTGCATTCACTTAAACTGTATTTGTTTAAATATAATAATAAATAATACTTGACTAGTGAAAAATAAACTAACTGAATAAACAAAACTCAAAAAAGTAATTTTTACACTTATTTATTCTAACTATTAATTGATGAACAAATATTTCAACTAAACACCAATGATTCATATTGAAATATTTACATACATAAATAAATAATTAAGGTTGCTGCATTTATCAAATACCTCATATTGTGCCCCGAATATCTTTTATGTACACTGTTCATTAACAAAAATTAATTATCTAGGATATAACAATTCAATTTACAAACCTTTTTGAATTTTTCAATATGAAACTATTGATAGAATAATATTTCTAAACAACCGATTGCTACTTTGATGTTTTATACAATCGCGCCCACAGTTTAGAAATTGAATTATTACAAAGTCATCTGTACCATTGTCATATTTTCACGTTATGAATTTATTTATTTCCCTATCAGGTACAGAAACAAATCTACAAAAAGTAGTTTACACAAAAACCAAGACACAGTTAGGTTTATCAGTCATTGATTATTCTTTGCACCCGAGTCCGGCATTCCAATTGCATATTCCTCCTATAGGGTCAAAAGATAATCCTTTTGGACATGTGTATTCCCATCCAAGTAAATTAGCATTTTCCATTTTAGCACATGATATAAATTTTCTACAAGAAAATGGATGAGGAAAGTTTCCAATATCTAAACATTCTATATAGCCATCATTATGTATCCTCACCTGAAAAAAACAAAACAATTATGAAATGAATGGAAATGCGAGTAATGATTTCAAATTAACCAAAAAGTATTTAATTAATAATTTGCTATTATGTCTCATACTACAACTTTAAGATACTGAACTATGTAAATGTAAAAAACAATAGTTATTGATGATACACAGCCAATACATACTTTCCTTTATGATATTAGCTGAACCAACTTACAGACTTAAAGGAAATTTTTAAGATTGTTTGAAAAGAAATATTATTCACTTACTTTTCCAGAAAGTGGCACATCGACAGGCTCTGCAAAGTAATCATCATATTCATCATATTGAATCTTTGAAAATGGACGTGGTGAACTTTTAGGTGGAGTGGAAACTGTAGGTCGAACAGCTGGTCTTTTTCGTACAATAGCTTTCCGAGTAGTTCTTTCAGTTGTTGATGATTTATCTAAAATTCATTCGTTCATTAGAGATTATCAAGTATTTCATGATTATAGGCTAAATCAAAATCATAAACAATAATAGTTAAGAAAATGATGATTATGATAACTGCTTAGATTATGACAATCTTTAAATTTATCTGTTAAAATTAAATTGTGGAAGATACATGATTTATTGACGCATTACACTTGTTAGCTACAGTTATTGATATTGTCTCCAGCTCTTTTTAATAATAATTATATATAAATAATTACATTATTATGTCAAAATAATGTTTTATATATCTTGTTCATCATATTAAAAAAAAATATTAAAAAATTATAGTTTGATTTCCTTTTCCTATAAGAACCAATCACAAGACAAAAAAGCACCCCATTTGTGTTATCATATGGATTAGACAACATATAGCAGATTAAATGACATGCTTACTATAATCCTGATTTCTTATTTAATAACTATAATTCATTATGTTAGCGGTACATACATTGTTGAGTGGTTGGTATTGGAGAAGATGTAGCCAAAGATTGTATTGCGGCAACTGCAACATTTGCCAGATCGGGAAGTACCAATGGCTCTTCATCAGTGTACTCTTCAGAAAGCTGTGATCCTTCAGTAACTTGTTCCAATGGTTTTGACACTTTTCTAGTTCTAATTTCATTTTGAGGTGTGTTCTTTGAAACATCGTGGCTTGCATCAAGTTGTGAGTCATCGAGGGGCAATGGTCTTATTAACTTTCTGAATTCTTTCCTAACAGGTTTACTGGTTTGTGAGACATTTTCTGAAATTGCTAAAATAAGAGAACATGAATTAGGATGAAATATGTTTTTGAAATTTTATTGGAAATGTTTAAAAAATTTATTGATTTGTTTCCTTTGGTCATTTAAGTTAAAATTAAATATTAAATCTTTATATAAGCTTTCATCCAGGTATACTATGGTACTAAATTTTACATTTCAAGTTCAAAACCCATTAGTCCTAACCCTAATATTGAGTAGTCCAAATTTGTATTCCCGAATATGTGTTACTTATAGCTGGTAATATATCCATCTATCAAGGAATTTTCAAGGACAAATTTGTGTTTAGTAATTTTAATCACACATCGTCATTAGCACAAGTTATCTATCTCTCATAATTTTTTATTTATTTAGAAGTATAATAATCTGTCACTTGGACAATAATTATAGTGAGATATGAATACATTCACACCATATATACAGAAAACATACAATTAACAAAAGTAAATTAATAATTAAATAATAATCAAACAACTAAGTACAATAAAAAATAAAATAACCTAAAGATAAGTAAATTTAAAAACATAAAAACTCAGTCATATTTATATACAATCAGGTAGGAAACCCCAAGCCAGGCTTGTCCCTCCAACTATTGAGGAAGGATAAGCAGGACTCCAAGAGATCCCTGCGCTACTCTCTCAACGGCATCACTGGTGCTAAAGTCAGTGGAGATTGAGCGAGAATGCTTTAGCCACATACACTCATGTTTGATGTTGATTTAATTACTAACTGTTTTTATTTAGATTTGGTTTTTGTTTTTTGTTCATAATAGTTATTCAAAACAATTCCATTCCCTCCTTGTATCAAGAAATTAAAATATTAAGCTAAATCTGATATATTTGAAATAGAAAAGTTACAATATTTAATTAAGGTAAAATAGTAAAATAAATATCACCTGATGTAAACTCTTTAGAAAATGGGCTAGGAGATGTAATTGAATTTTTAGAGAAGTTCCTCTCTGTTTTGAAACGATTCAAACGCTGTCTTAGAGATTCAATGGTTGTACGCTGCTTAACAGTGGTGGGTGCTTCAGTAGTGGAAGTTGTTTGTGCGCGAACAATTGTTTTTCTAAACGGTCGCCGAGTTCTGGTCTGAATCTAAAATCATATTTCTTAATTAGATTATAAATAAATAATTTATTTATGCCTCTATAATTTTTAAAGACATGAATATAAAATGGATAAAAGAGGAACAGCTTTCTTTATTGTGAAATATTTAAAATTAGATTGGTATGTAATAATCATATAAAAGGATAAACTATTTAAATTTTTTTATATTATAAGTATATACAAAATTATGGTATAGTTAAAACTATGTTGTATATAACCATACCAATGGTTCGCATACCATGTACAGTTGATAGGAAAATTATTTAGTTTGCAACTGTTCCATGCATGTTTATAAAACAAGTATAGGATACAACCATATAAGTTATAAGATAGTAGTTGAAAGAGGAAAGAGTTACGATGTTAAACAACATATAATGTTAGGAGAGATTGTTTAAATAATTTTTATAACACCATGCTTGGATTTGTTTTGATTTTGTCACATATAAACACATTAAGCATAAAGAAAGAGAAGAAGAAGAAGAAGATGATTAGAAATGAGAAAACTTACTCATTTTTGAATATGTATGCAGTAGAAAATAAAATACATGCCACCAGAGTTTTGATCTGGCTGTTAAAATATTTTCAATGGACAAGCGACAAAGAGTGCCATGCTAGACAATATAGACAGTTAATGCTGTTATTTTTTCATTTCATTTTTTTTCTGTAAGTTTTAAATGTACCGTCTAAGGGTAGGTTTTAGTAAGGAAATTTGACAAGTAGAATTTGTACCTGTAGAAACATAGACCTTTCTTCCAATCACCAGTACTACTGAGCTCAAGTACTGCTCATATTCATGCGATATACATATTTGACACTGTGCTAATACAGATTTTAAGAGTATATAATTAAATCAACAAGCATGAGTTTTAAAACACACTTAATTTGTTATATATATATGCATTCATGCCAGTTGTTAAATGTTAGCTTCTAATCCATACCTCTTGCTCGCCTCTACTTGTTTGAATGACGTCTTCACTAAAGTCAACATTCAAGTCATCATTAGATGCCACATTGGCTAATTTAATTTGACTTGGTCTGTTTAGAGGGTTAGTATTTTTAAAAAGCCCTGCTTTTTCTAGTGATCCAGTTTCTTCAACTTCAAGGTCTTTAATAGGTTTTCTAAGAATAACTTTGCGAACTTTGTGTTTATGCTTAAGGATATCTTCACCATTTTTAGTTGTATTTACTTGAGAAATTTCTGTTTCATTATTCTTTTGGATATCAAAGAATTTAATGTCATTTAAATCTTTGGTTACATTGTCTTTATCGTATCTTGTAACATTTAAGTTTGCATTAAATCTTTTTCTGCCTCGGATAATTATTCTCTTATGTTTAATTGAAGAAGTATTTGTAGGCAGAGAGTCAGGATTTGATGTACTTTGATTGTTTACATAGAATTTTAAATTAACACCCTCCTTTGAAGAAGAGGCCAAATTATCTATGAGTTGTGATGTATCGTCATTCTGAACATTATCTGCGTACTTTTTCCTACCTCGTTTTAAAATGTATGGTTTCCGAGAAGGTTTAGTTTCCAAGATATTATTGGTGCTATTAACCACAGAATAATCATATTGTTGAGATATTTTCCTTCTTATTACTAAGCTGTTTCTATTACTTCTTACTGCATTATCATTAATGGGCACTGTTGAATTTACAATGGATGGTTTTCTTCTGCGCAAAATTACTTTCTTTTTTCCAGATAATTCTGGCCCTGTACCTATGTTTTTATTTACTGTAAATGTTTTATCATCATCTCGATTTTCAAAGCGCCTTCCTTCTTTTATTTTCTTAGGGATTAAGTCAAGAGTTTTTGCTTCTGGAGTAGGAGTAGTAGTTGATCTTCTATTTATATTTAAATAACTTGGGAACCTATTTCTAATTACGTTTTTAGGTGTTGAAACTGAAGAATTATTCATTTCAAAACTATCACTGGAATTTGTAGTAGTTTCTAAGTCAGAATCAGTTGTAATTTCTTTTAAAATTGATTCAGTAACTATATCACCTAAGCTTAAATCAGCTTCAGTTTTTGATTCAACATTATTGACTTTAGTTTTATCGGAAAAGGTATCACTTAATAAATCATTAATGGTACTTCCTGTTTGATATAACTCATCAAATGTAGAATCATCCAAGGACAATGAAGTCGTTGATCTTGGCTCTGTTACTATTTCGTCAGAGGTAGGCAATGTAGTTGTTGAAGATATGTGACTAGGAGTAGTAGGCCCCCTCCTTGGTGGAAATCGTGGTTTGAAAATTGGTTTTCTTATTACATTAGTATCACGAGAATCTCCCTTGACAAATAATTCATCTTCATCTTCAGAATTAGGGCGACTATTAATGTTTGTTAAGTTATACAATTTTTCATTGGGTTTTCTTCTCAAAGGAAATCGACTACTGAGTGGATACCTTTTTCTTGCAGTATTAAATAAACGAATGTCGCTTCCACCTTTATCTGAAGGCTCTTCACTATTTTCTGTTTGTTGTGCTGGTGAAAGTGAATGTGTATCAGCAGGATTAGACTCTGTAGTCCTGATTCTAGCTTTTGAGGGAACAAAATGTCCTCTAGAAGAAGTCTCAGATTGTTCTGTAGTTGTTCTTAGCCTGAATCTTTTTTGAGAAAGAAAAGCAGGAGTTGCTCTGGCTGTGGTTGTGACACTTATGTCAGGCCTTCTGAGGTGAAATCCATGTAAGAGAGGTCTTTCTATGGTTTCATCTTCTGTTGAGAGAGATTTGTTTTCTACATTGTATAAATCTACTACTGAATTTTCCAAATCCTTAATAAGGTTCCTAAGTTTTGAGAGGGGAACTCTTTGTCGCCGAGTTGCCCCTTCAACAACCTGAGTCACAACCCTGGTGGATGTAGGTATAGTGATGGTTGTAGGGATTACATCATCACTCACCTTCACTCGAGGGCGTGGGGTTGTTGTTTCAATAACATGTTCGGTTACCTCCTCATCATCATTGAGCTCATTCTCTGTAGTCACCACATCCTCTTCAGCATGAGGATTGGGAGTTCTTTGGCGTTGAAGAGTAACATACCTAAGAAGAAACAAAGCAATTATAATACAGAAAAATATTTATAAAGATTTTACAAAGATAAATTATACTTATTCATTAGTAAATTAGTCTTAAACTGTCAAAACATTAAACTGGTGGTTTTAAAGTTTGTAAAAATATTATCATAAAAAATATATCAAACATTTGAAGACAAAAAAAAATTGGATACAGTCTACCACATACCTGATGGGTTTTAAAGTATAGAATTACTTATTATATTAACATTCACTAAATATAATTTATTTCAACAGATGTGAGTGATAAAGTCATCAACTCATCCTCATATTTGAACTTGTTCACTGTATTTCTGCTTATATTTTTCTTAACCTCTAATACATATTTTCTCTGTTAAATGATATCAATTTATATATTTCAATTTTCAAGGATTTATAGAAGCCAAGCTATGTGCATATAAAAATGACACCAAAAGTCTGCAAATGTTATTATCTTAACATCCTAAATGGAAGAATGTAAATACACAGAAATGCAGCAATGGGGATAATTTTTTTTTAATCCTGGCATTAATGCACTGTGCTCTTATCGAGGCCTATTGTATACTGTCTTACTCTCTGTTAAAACAGGCTAATAGCCATAAATTAATTATTTTTCATTTTTTTTTTAACAACAAGCGATTAGGAATGGTTAAAAGAAATAAAATTATCTTCACCTTGTCTCTATAGATATGCTGAAATCAAATTCAGTAAGAAAATCTAGTATAAAATAATATTATTTTTCTCAGTTAAAATCATGGAAGAGCTTCTGCCAGCTCTGCCAATGCCATTATTTAGGAAAAAATGTTATAATATAACCTTCACAACTAAAGATTCCTCTGTGTGAAAGGAATACTGCATTAGATGTTCTTCTTCTTCTTTCCTGAATTATTAATGTCAAAATACACTTCATATTTCAGCTTCAGTTGCTATAAATAGTAAAAATGTTAAGTTAATAGAAAAAGAGCACATTATTAGAAGAAATTATGGAAAGAATTAGTTTAATTTTAAAGAAGAAAATAGTTAAAACATACTATTCTATTAATCTAATTAATTTCAACAATTAATCTTAAAAAAACAAAGAAAACCGGATTCCTTAATGTCTGGCATCAAATTAGTCACAGATGTAGTTAAGAGACTTATAGGGAATTAGGAGATGAATCAGTTATAAAAATATTGGTTTGAATTAGTTAAAATTAAAATAGTTAAAAAACATTGAACTTAACCAGTAATTAAAATGTTAATGATGGGACATTTATTACTTTAAAAATATTACTGAGCACATTATCCCTGTAATGTGGGATACTACTATAAACACCCGCCTTCTAGATGAAAATATCTTACAACAATGAATAATGATGGGACAAAGAGAGTAAAAGGAGCCAAGTTAGGTTCGTAGGTTCAATGGCATATCTAAGCAAACTGACAGTGAAATTCGTTAGTTAGATAAGATAGGTACTTCTAAAAGGTGTTAATTGAAAAATTAATTGAATGATTTCAGATCAATCATTGCAATAGTTTGCTATGAGAATAGAAAATGTGGAGTCTTCAATACTGCTGGGAACTAAATTATTCCAGAGGAGAAAAGATAACAAGATCATAATAGAAATTGAGTTAGATATAAACAACATACTTGGATGTAGTAGAAGAAGAATCTGCAGTAGTGGGACGACTTCTTAAAATACTTGTATATTTCAATGTAGTCGACCTTTCCTCGTTTCTTGGAGCTTCTTCATTCCGATGCTTTGACCTAAATCTTTCAGAAGGTTGGTACTTTGGTCGTTCTGGTTTTTCTGTCTCAGATGCACCAGAGTTTTGACCAAATCGATTTCGATTTATTGTCTTATATTTAACCCCTTCTTCTTCAACACCACCATCATCCTCAACTTCTGCATAAACTATATCAGCACTTTCTGTAGTGGTGCTAGGCCTGTAAACGCAAAATTTTAAAATAGGACAAAATTATTGACATTAAACAAAAATATTTTTATATAAAATGTATTCCTGTGTATGTCCCATTATTCATAATAATTTCTGAATATTTACCACTATGTCATAATCCAATATTCAAAATGATCTCATAATTTAATTTGTTTTAAATTATAAATATTGTTTCTATTTATGAAATCCTATTGTATTAACTAGAAACTTTCAAAATATTTAATTTTGAATAATATATGTTTTATACATGATATAAATTTTTAAATAAACATATCATTAATACCTTTCTCTTCTAATGGTGACATATTGTGGTTTGTCCCTTCGGAATGAAGATCTGGGTGACTCACGGGGTAGACCTTCATTTTGAGGCCCAGATGGTCCATTTCTTTGAATGCTTTGGTATCTAAACATATTGACTAGTATATGAAACCTTGCAAGAAAGAAGGGTAAAGGATACATAGTAAAAATAAAGAAATTAAGGTAATATTTTAATTAAACATATTAAAATAAAGAACAAATCATTTTTAAAATAGGGATTTAAATAAAGCCAAAGTGGAATTAGAAGAAGAGCTAATTATTCCCTATCTGCTTAATGACTTTCTTTTAATTTTTCATAAACTATTTCAAATCTCATTTATAAATAAAGATAACAATATTTCTGATAGTGAAAACACTAATATTTATTTATATACTTATAAAACGTAATGAATTTTCATTTAAATAATATTTTGTATTAAAAAATATTCATGTGACAAGAAAAGACATCTCAAAAATGTGTTAAACCTGTGAAATATTTCTGGGTTGATAACACTGATTCACTGGATTCAACTTTACATCTTTGTTTGCATAAAAATTAAGAAATTAGTTCCTTCTTTTGTTATTATGCACAATTAAGGAGGACTTAAGAAGAAGTATGATCTATGAAACTGTAGGCAAAATCAAACATTATTATATGATTTTTCTCAAATTAATGCTGTGTGAATTAGTGGCTTGTTTATTGAATAGTTTTAAAATGAATGCTTTAATAATTTTAATTAATCCAGCATGAATTAACAAAATTAGTCATTCAATAATTTTATTAAAAAAAATATATGTTATGCATAGTTACTGTACCTGGACGTGCCAGAATTAAGCACTTTCCTATAAAGACTCTTGCTGATAGGGGGAGGTGTTGAATCGGTGCCAGAACTTGCTTCTAACTGTTTTTCAAGTTCAGCCACACCACCTAATATAGTAAATAAAATGAATAATATGTTTCAGATGCAATAAGTTAATGCTAAACGTTAATAAACTGATGAATAAGATTTGGGATCGTAATATATAATTTATACATTTCTAAATATTGTAATATAAATATAAATAATAATGTGACACCCGTTTCATAGAAGAATGGAGTACAGATTTCTACAAAAAATTACATTAATATTGCTTTTTAATATCTATTTGGATTATATAATAATAGGACTTAAATGAAACTCTGGGGCAACCAAAAAATAAGTTTAAAGATTATTAATGTGGTACCACGTTCAAATTATCTAATAAACTTTTTTTGTAGAACATAAAGGCTTAATATGTCACCTAATTTTTTAATCAATGCTATCAACTGCTTGATTGCTTGTGGATCTTCGGCATTATCTCTATCTTCTTCCTCCTCTTCCTCTTCAATAGGGGCTTCAGTTGTTGTGGTGGTAGTAGTAGTAGTAGTTCTTGGCAGAGATGTGGTTTTCGGTGGAAGTGTTATTTTACCAGGGCTTGCCTGAAATAATTTATTTTTATTCTATCTATATGTAATGAAAATTTTCTCTTCAATGGTAATCTTTATTTTATTCTTTTGTCTAACGTTTCGGGTTACTCACCCATCATCAAAGATAATTTAAAACTGTTAGTAAGTCTTTCATCCATCTTATTGTTTTATAATGCTTATTAAAAACATTTGTTCTTAATTTACTAATTAAATTTAAAATAAAATAAGTTGGACTGAATAGTGGTCCAAAAAATAGTTTACCCAGTGAATTGTGACAATGGAAAACATCCATCTTAAAAATAAATGTATTTTATTTAAAATTTAATTACTAACTTATTCATTTATTGAATATTACAACATTCTGTCACTTGAACATTGGTAATAGAGAGAGAGATAAGATCACATTCACACTATAGTATAAAAAAATATAAAATAAACAGAAGCAAAATAACAACTAAATAATAATAAAAAGTATATATAATAAATAAAATAAAATAACTTAAAAATAAGGAAATTGATAAAAGCAAAAAACACATACATACCTATATACCTACCTACCTATCTGTACCACTATAACCCATGAAGGGTTTTGGGCTCAGAACTATTTAGGGAAAGCACTGTTTTTTGGTCTACAGTTGTGCAAGGAGGTAATTTGACCTAGATCACGCTCAACTGCCAGATTTTCCCCCTTGATTTATTATTTTAATCAAGGATACCCACTTTATAGAGGCTGGATATGCCCCAAGAGGGTCTCCCGCCCCAGGGTTACCCCACATCCAATGAAACAGAATAAATAATTTGTGTGCCATGAGCCGGGATTCGAACCTGGGACCTTTAGCATTGGAAGTTCAGTACCGTATCACTGAACTACCCCACTCCCTTACATACCCATGTACACTATTTACAATCAGGCAAGGGAACTCCCAGGCAGGATTGTCCCTCCAACTATGGAGGCTACTCTCTCAACTTCATCACTGGTACTAAAGGCAGTGGAGATTGATCGAGAACGAATTGGTAAATTAGAACAAATATTTTTAATATGCATTATAAAACAATAAGAAGGATGAAAGACATAGTAACAGTTTTAAATTGTCTTTGATGATGAGTGAGTAACTCGAAATGTCAGACAAAAGAATATAATAGATTAACATGGAAGAGAATTTTCATTATATTTACCTTATATTATATTATATATACCTATATTACATATATACCTTATATTATATCATACTATATATACCTAGAACTATTAGAACTCTTTCTTTGAAAAAATTAAAATATCAAATAATTTATTTTTATTGATTATAAAAACAAGCAAATATATCATCCCCTATCACAATATTGGCAAAAATATTAAACATGAATAATAATACAAAAAAAAAAAAATACGTTATTGTTTCGGCGTCCTTAGGAGAGCCTTTTGCATTCCATCTAAAACTCCTAAGGAATGCGCGCCTCCACGTGGTACGGCTGGATAACTCTATTCCCGATAGAAGGCTAGGGATGGAGGAACTAAACTAACTAAAAAACTAACCCTCTAGGGCTAACTACCCTAGTTGTACTTAGTCGGGGTAACCTGACCCAAAAATAAACACTTACAATATCATGGAAGGAGCTTCACACGTACAAAATTAATGACCACAGACGCAGACTTCAAGAAAAAAACAGTGGAAACCAAATACGGGTCAATAAATGTAACAAATAAATTTAAATACCTGGGTGAGACTATATGTAATAATGGTTCTGAAAAAGAAAGTATCAAGGAAAGAATAGCCAAATTGGAAAAACTAAGTTTTGCAACCAGTAACATATACAACAAGAGAAACCTGTCCAAGGAAGCGAAAATACGACACTACAATACAGTTGTTAAACCTGTGATACTATACGGGACGGAAACCACATTCCTCCCCAGTCTGGAAAAATTGTTGAGAATAGAGCAAAGAATTCTAAGAAGGATTTACGGCCCCAAAAAGACAAAAGAAGGATACAGGCTAAGATCCAATCAGAAAATATACAAGGAAAAAAGAGATCTAGAAACAGAAATTAGGATCAGGAGGCTGAAATTCCACAGACATATGGTAAGAATGGCCCCAGAAAGACTTAACAAGGAAATATTCCAAAAAATCCGTAGATACAAAAGCTTGGGAGGATACATCAGGCAGATGAAGGAAGAAACGGAAAGACTTGGAATAACGGACCGGGACTGTCTGGACAGAGAGGGGTATGGTAAGAGACTAAAGGAGATCACGGTTCTTGCTAAGAAGAAAAGTTCGAGAAAGGGAGTCGCGTGGACGGAGGAGAGAAAGCGGCGGCACTCGGAGATAATGAGAGAGAAGTGGAAAGAAAGGAAAAACAAGAAAGAAGCCAAATGTCATGATATTCGCGTGGTCTCTATGGCCGTTCCGTGGAAAAAAAAAAAAAAATACAAAATAAATGTAATTTTAACAATTACAGTTACATAAAAAGTCCATAGCATACCTTGGTTGTTTTAGGGGTAACAGTTGTAGTTGTTGTGGTCGTGGTTGCAGATTTTTTGTTGCAAATTACATTTCTAGAAAAATCACAAGAATCTGCGGCTTTATTGAAAAAAAGTCCTAAAAAAAAAAGAATTAATATTAAATTGATTTTGATAAAAAAATATAAGTAAATAAAACAATATCCTACCAGAAGGACAGGTGAATTGATGAGCAACTATGCCAAGATCTGAAGGTCCACTGTCCAAGCACCAGAAATATTTCTTGCAGTCCCTTGGGTGAGGAAAGAACCCTTCATCTTTACAAACAAAGTCTGAAATATCGATAATTTCAATGAATAATTTACAAATAAAATAATGTCACAGCTTAAAGTTATTATAATAATTCAATTTATTTTTGAAAAATTGATATGAAAAAAATGTGTTTTTCTTAAATCTAAACTTAATTTTTATGTGAACTTTCTTTCTAGTTAGGCCTAGGATTAATATTTCTTACAGCTTTTATATAAATATGTTGTTTAAACATATAATCGATTTTACTAGTTTTAACATTGAGTTTTTTTTTAAATGGGATCGTGCACTTAGGGAATATTTAATAAAATAATGAATAGTTTTATGCAATGTTTCTTTACAAGATGATAATTTTATGTGGTTTATAGAGAATATATGACCTTCCACATTACTAATGAGGCAAAATATTTATGCTCCTCTTTCTATTATTCTCATATATTGTTTTTTTCAGCCTTAATAAAGGCATACAACTCGGGCCAAAATGTCGTCACACATTTAAACCATATGACATTAGAATGTTTCAATAATTTAAATAACCAACATCATATTCTGAGTCTGAGGAATCTCTATATCAAAAATTTAGTAAGATAGAAAGTAATTGCGAAAAGTATTGAAAGAAACACTTTTATAAGAACTAGCTAATAATAGACTTGTTATAGTTAATTTTTTAAAGTTAAAAATACAATAAAATATATAAATATAGTTTAGTCATGAATATAAAAAGCCAAAAATGGATTTATTAAAGAATATCATAGTACCATTCACTGTAATATATAATGTTACTTAAATTATAATAAAACAATAAAAGAAATGAATAAATTACTCTTTATTATAATGGATTTTCAATACTAACCACTTCCTGGGTCTGGTGTTGTTGGAGGTTCAGGAGTAGTGTTGGACTGTGGAGGAGAAGGAGTTGTAGTTGTCCTGGCTGTTGTTTTAATCTTTCCAACTTTATTCGTTTTACCTCCCCGTATACTGGATGGCAACTTATTACTGACTCCTTTCCCAACCAGAGCTTCTTTAGCTGCTTCAATGAGAGGGTAAGGGCGGGAATGGCATTTACCTCGGAAGTCATCGTTATCAATAGACCAGAACATAATACCACCCAGATTTCTCTGATTCACATATTCTGCCTAAATAAAAACATAATAATTCGTTTAAAATAATTTTTTTTTCAGTTTCATAGTTTTAAAATTAATATCAATAGTTAGATATGTTTTTTAATTGTTTACCTTTTTTCTAGCAATAGCTTCATCATCGTAACCAACCCACTGATTATCTTTGTAAGCGTATGGACCCATTGCACTTTCTTTAGGTTGAACTACAGTCCATCCGTCTTTTATATTATTACAAATCTGAAAAATAAATATACAATTTTATCAGAAAACAACATATTAAAAAAAAATGTATTCATTTCTGCCTTTAAGTTCCCAAGATCTATAATAAAAAATAACTTGGTTTTAAAACCGAATGATATTTTAAGTATATATTTTTGTCTTTTCACAAAATTATATTAATCAAACATTAAATAGCTACTGATTTAAAAGACATCATTAGGATTACAAGGTCAAAACTAACTATAAATAATAATAAAATATATAAAACTCCACCAAAATTTAATTTTTCTTGCAGTTATTAGGAATTGAAATTAAATTGGACAGCCATTGTGGCATCATTTATGAGCTGAATGAAGCAAGATTTTTAATGATGCTAGTATAATAGTAGTATTGCTCATTCATGAACAGATATTTATGTAATTTTTAGAATAATAAAGTGATTTTACATCATATTATTAAGTTCAATAGTATTTCAAAGTCAAATTAATAAAATTTCGGAATTAGACCAACAATATGAACAGTTTGGCTGATACATTTCTAATACCATAAAAACTTTGTAGTTCTTTAAAATGTTTTCACCATATAATTCTAAAAGAAAACAAAAAATATTTTTCATGGAACTGTCTATAATTTCAAAATACTGAAGTGATTTGTTTTACAAGCAGTCTTATAAAATATACAAAAATGGATTTAGCTGATTTTGGAACTGAATACCTCAATTGATAGTAAGTCAATTTGTTGTTTACTAAATACCTGCTGGTTTTGTATCCCCTGAAGAAAAAAAGGCTATAATATGGAATGAACAATCACTATTCATAATACTCTAAATATTAATTATTGAGTATTTTATTTTGGAAAGCCAACACTCAACTACCCTCTCCTTAGATAAATAATTGAAAAAATAGACGGACTGATAAATTACTCAAATCGCTACAAAATTGTAATGATAATTAAAAAAAAAAGAAATCTGAACCTCATAGTAAGCAAGATAGCCCTTCTCTCTTGTAGCTTCACCCTGTTCTCCGGGTCCATCGGCTGGTGACCCAAGATCGGTAGAGTCAGGGTTAAACAATGTATATGAACGACCATATGTAGGAATTCCTAACACAAGTTTTTCTGCATCAGCTCCTTTCATTAGATAGTGCTTTATAGTGGCTTCCTAGAAGAAACACATGTATTAGAAAAATATTTAGTTTTAGTTGTAAAATCAAATAAGTTAGTAAGGAAATGAGTTAATTAAAACCATTTCAATTTATATATATTTTTATACTGCAGCAAGAATGATCAAGTGGATGAAAGTGCTTGCAATAGGTAATGAAGATTAAATATTGTTGATCAGGATTAGCAAGTAAATGGCCGAGTTTAGCAGTAAAGATCCTACCTATGATTTATTTTTGAGAACCGTGTTGTAGTTTTCCAAGATATCAAATAGCTATCCAGAAATTCGGTACATGAATAATCTGCTTCAGAGAAAAGAATATAGGTTCTCATGTAGCAACTGACTAAGAAAAGTAATAATCTGATTACCTAAAACAATTTGTCATTTCCGGATAGCTGAATGGGCCTGTAGGAAGGACACTATTGAATCAACTCCAAAGGAACTGATTATGGAGCAATGAATAGTTTGCCGCATCACTTTTGTTTTGTTCTCCCCTTCCTCGCCTTTTAGGCAATACAGGGTTTTCCTTGAGCCAGAGGGCTAAGACGGAGATTAATGGACTCCTCGGCACTGGGACGTGAACTTGTAACTATTATATCATTCACAATGTCGGTTATCAGGTTGACGGGCAACGTGCAGTTCTGTGCATACTCAGTAGCCACACTTCATTATCGAAACTATCGTTTATAGCAGTGGGAGTAAGGTTTATCTTTTCCAGGCTGTTGTCTACAATAATTGTTGATGAAGAGACCACACTGAATGGCCAAAGAAAATCATAAAAAAAAAAATTATAATTTAAAAAAATATATTATTTTCAAATAAACTTACAATGGTCAACTGAGAGTCAAAATTATATTCGGAATCTTCTTCAATGGAATATAGAGGTGAGTGGTGATTCACTGATGGCTCAAAGGCAGAATGGTAGTCATATGAGAGTATGTTAAAGAAATCTAAATATCTGCAAAATGAAAATCATTACTAAATCTGTAATTATTAAAGCATTGTGGTGTGAGTTTTTTTATAATTAATTTATTATCTAATTGGTAAATTGGTCTAAGAATCAATTAGAACTAAAAACTGATAATCAATCATCATTTAAATGGCCTATTTGGCAAAACCTCCAAATGCCATTGTATCTTCCAATTTGATTGCTTGTAGATTCCTCTTTTTATTTGTTATTGCAGAAACTAGTACCTGTTGAGTTTGGGTAGATCATAGCCTTTATCAATGTATTCAATTCCAGCTGGTACTGCCATAGTCAAGAGAAGCCTAGGCCTTCCAGTTTTTGATGATTCTTTTTCAAATTCTTCACGAAGCTCCTATAAAAAACATAAGAATTTTTAGTAAATAGAAAAGAATAATATAAAAAAAAATCGGTTGCATTTTAAATAATGTTATGGTATTATTGTCAAATGATACATATTTCCATGTAAATGCAATTATGAAGAAACGTAATATATAGTTACAGATTTATTTACATGAATATTATCCTTCTAATGGATTTATTGGTATTGTAAAATAATTGAACTTAACATAATTCGTGAGATTTTTAAAATATTATTCTTCACTTTCAACTTTTGTTAATAGGGGAGTACTCCCTGTCTGCCTATCGCCGGACCAATTGCCATTTTACAAATTATACAACTGTTCATTTAATTGTACTACTCGTTGCTCAAATTGTATAACTTTAATTTATATATATTGTGTAGTTCATATTGTATTATTTGTTATCAACATAAAATAAACTGAACGAAACTACAGTTCGGACAAATTTTTAATTTATTTAAAAACTATATTATACATCGGGCCTTATTGGCAATTTATATTATTATGTAATTATAATTATTCTTATTGCCGATTTGTAACCATATATATATATATTCAACTTGTCCAGCTTTATATAAGCCCAACAATAATTTGAGCCTTTATTTCTAATATTTTCATTGTATGTTTTTTTGTGCTTACTTGTCTATTTCATAATAATTATAATTATTTCACAATATAATATAAATAATATAATAATTAATATATTATATTCAAGAGGAAATGTCTTGATCGAAAAATAACTGCTGCCACTGAAGTAAAATCAAACTACCATCTTCAGATGAAAATACCATTTCCCGTACAAAGTTTTAGTATAAAATCTTTATTTTATATTAGGAGAGTAGGAGGTAACAGGATCCCAACTAATATGTAATTAAATTAACAGCTATATAATTTGCAAAGTAATCGCCATAAGCGAGCAGCAATATCGAACATAGAAGACTGCTGTTGAGCTCCTCTTATCTTCCATTCTTCTAATACTAAACTAAAATAAAATATAAGTCACTAAAAACTTTTTCTTTATTTTAATCAAAAACTTATAATGTTTACCTGTACTAATTGAGCATAATTTTCTTTATCCTTAGGCTTTCCTCCATCCCTATATGCTGGATACTCCCAATCCAAATCAAGTCCATCAAAATGGTTTTGCCTAAGAAATTTTACAACATTTCTTACAAATTCCTTTCTCCTTTCTTCATCGGCAACTAGAGGTGAAAATCTTGCAGAACCTTCATTCCATCCTCCAATTGCAAGGAGAGTTTTCAACTGCTTGTTGTAGGTTTTCAAACCAGTAAATTTAGCATACCCTCCTATATAACATAATTATACAAAAAATCAACTCTTTTTTTTCAGATGTTCTTGTAGACTATACATTAATCTTCAATACTATTACAAGTAACTTGATGGTTAGATTATTATGTCTATAGATTAAATTTAAACAAGTATAAAAAGCTTTTTCTAAATTTTTTTCAACCTAATTTTGAAGATTTCAAAAATATCTGAGTACAACAATAATAATAAAACAAAAATACATAAAAAAGAAGTGATTAAATTAAAAATAATTTATATATATGCAAACCTTGTTCTATGTCTTGATATTTGTCATAGGGCCTAAGTCCATTTTCTCTGTCTAAGCCACCAAAAGCATAAATTAAATGAGTACACAGGTATGGATTTATATTTTGGGGGTTGAATTTCGCTGTACCCGGGCGATATACTGACCAGTTTGTATAATAACAAACAACTTTTTTCTCACCATCACTGGATCTTTTTGATATTTCATCTAAAAATTTAATAAAGTACATTTAAAATTATACATCTTCCGGTATTAAATAAAATAGTTTACTAAAGATAATCTTATTTAAATTAGTTGGTGGTGCAATATAGAAATATAGAATAAGAAATAATATGCTAGTTATATGGACTAATTTCATATCCATATGCGAGAACCCTGCTTGGTGTACGGAACTGGAGAGCTGCAGCAGAAGACAGAGCCAACTGGCGGAGGCTCTTGGAGGAGGCCCAGTCTCGGTAACGGGATGTCATGTCACACATGATGATGATGATGAATTTCATATCCATGAACAGGAAAGGACATTCTAATGTAAAGGATCATGTTATACAGGAAAGGGTGGAAAAAAATCACAGTTTGAGTCTTAACCACAGAAGAGAAAATATTTAAATAACAGAAACATAAAAGAATATAAATTATTTATTGATTAATTTCAACTTACGTTGATTTGAAATCGCAAGAAACGTGGCTGCTAGTATCGCTTGTGCCAACCGCATCTGTAAACAAATTTTGAATTTAAAAACATAACAATGGAGCTCCACAAAAAAAAAAAAAAAAAAAAAAAAAAAAAAATATATATATATATATATATATATATATATATATATATATATAAAATTTATATATTAAAATTATCATAATTGGAACTAGAGCGAAAACGAAATTCATTTTTTAGTCTGAGAAAAAAATATTTGTTTTTGATCCATATCAATAATAATAAAGATAATGAATCTTCATACAAGTAAAAACAATGCAATAAAAAAGTTAAATATTTATAGCTGGAACGACCTGAAACCTCCAAGTTGACAGAGAAAGAGTTCCCTGGTGTCTTTGACATCCCGAGAGAAACAATGATAAGTTCATTCATATTTATTTTGTGAAAAAGCTCGGCAAGAGAATTTTTAATGATCATTGAACAAAAAGTATTCGTATTTTATTTTCTGTCTGTTTGATTTGTTATTTTGACATTAATTCAGTCAATAAAATGGGTTGTACAATGAGATCATATTATTTATTAAACCACTGACTTCGATTTAGAAGAGGCGAAAGGAGGACGTATAAAAGGACAGAAAAATTAAGCTCACCCGAATAAAATTTCTTGTTTCAGCTCGACCCGTTATCAATAATGTTCTAGCCTGAAAACGATCCTTAGTTCACTGAAATGTATTAGAATTTTTTTGGGAGACTGATAAGGATTTGAATTTTTATTAAAACAATTCACACTTTTGAATTATAATATATTATATTAAGTCAGCAAATCCAGATACACCAGTAATAGAGAGTATGCATTTCGTATGGAAAATAACATTTAAGTCCTCTTGAAAGTTTGTTCACTTTATGTTGCTGATTTATCAAGTGCAAAAATAATAGTAAGCCACTCCGGCTAGACTAAAAAATACTCAGGCTTTTTAGCTGAGGCAGGAAAGACCGCACACATGGAGGGAATAATAAAAAGCTGAAATAAAAGAAAAATACAAATGGTTTTGCTCCATCTTCTGTCGGACCATAAAGGAAGACTACATTTTTAAATCAGTATCTTCTCTACCATTATGTATGGTAAAAGCTTAGATAAAATACTATTCCAATTAGGATGCATATCAACAAGATGCTGTGTTAGGAATGAGGCGATTAGAGAGGACTCAAGGAATGCCTACGTTAAAAGATGCTTTCCTTAAACGTCATGATGAGCAAGGATTGGGAACCAAGGAAGGTAATGGGACCTAACCAACTGGTAAAACAACACGAGCAAAGCTTTACCGGGAACATTATATCCACAAGATAAGAGAGGAAAAAAAAACAAGTTAAAAAAATGGCACTAGAAGGAATGGCAATGCAAGTGTAAGAATAAAATTCAGATAAATGGAGGCTCATTCACAATAAAAATTAGACTGATAATGGAAAACGAGGAAATAAATGGGATTAAAAATTAGATAAATATCTCAATTTAACATAAAAAACAGTTAATGATAGAAAATACAAGAACATAGGAAATAACGTACACTAGGATAACTTATTGTAATATACATACATAATTTTATAGAATAAGATTAAACAAAACGGAGGTAGCCAAAACCTAATAATCAAATTCTATTTATAAAATATTAAAATTTCGAGACAATTTTTTTAAGATTGTCTAACATTGGATTTGTTTAGGCCCATTCTAAACCCAAAAGAAAATGTACTGATAACTGACCATCATGGATTACTCTTTGAACAAAGCAAATGAGATAGGATGTTTTTCGCCTGCTGAGTGTTGGAATGAGGGTAGAATTGCTTCCTGATGTATGCTGAAGCAAAGTAATATTAAGTAAACTGACCCAGTGAAGTAAGAGAACAATGGCTGACCGCAACTACCTGCCGCTATTGTGAAAATTCTTTAGAAAGGGCTATCCTCTATGTCATTGCACTCGCTTCAATTGATGAGAGAAAAGTTAAGGCTCTTCAGAGATTCTGCTGTAGTTAGCATGACGTTCTTCATTAATGAAACTCTATTAATTATCAAGATATCCCACTACTTGGAGGTCGATTCTATAACAGTGGCGCAACCAGGATTGGGGGTTAAGTTATATGTGACAGCACAGTCTGACAGGACAAAGATTGTCTCGACTTGACACACGCCCTTTATTGATATTTTTTTTCAAAATAACTGATATTTATTAAAATGAATACATTAAGGAAAATTTAAAAATATATTTTCAATGTCCAAAGTTTGATCACTATACCATGCAAAATAGTCAATAATATATCATAACATTCTTCTTGTTTGGTCTGATGGTGGTAAGATAAACATGTTTTTATCAAAGCGTTATTTATTTTATAATTCTTATTTTTTAAAATTAATTCGGACGAAAAACGGTTACAAGCGGGAAAGGAAGAACAAGGCAACAATGTTTCCAAATGTATAGAATTACAAAGAGAATATAAGTTTTATAAAGTTCGAACAGCAGCGAGATGGACTATCACCGATTTTGTTTAACTAAGCGCTGGAGAAGGCGATAACAGCGACATCACACGAAAATGGAGGGATGCACTAACACATGAAGAAGAAAGACTAATAAAGAGTTTCTTACAGAAACTGATCAATCAGTATTTCATGATATGAAAGCACAGAGGTAAAGATGCACGGGTCATGAAGCTCGGAGCAATCGATCAGGAAGTTTCTACATAACAACGACTGTTTCAATAGAACGCAAAGGACCAGGTGGACGTCCAAAAAACAGATGGATAGATCAACAATTAGAATCAACAAAGATGGAATATAGCTTCAGATAACTGGAAAGAAATGGCCCAAGATAGGAAGAGATGAAGTAGGATTGTTAAGGCGTCGAAAAGTCTGTAAGATTTGTGAAATCTCGAAGACCAAAGATGACTGTTGACAATGGCAGATAATCACTTTTTTAATTGTAGAGTTCCAATTAATTCAGTGGCAAATTGGCAGGGAAGAGGAAAATCCTCCTCCTAAAATAACCGCTGGAAAAAGAAATACGCTCGAGTTTAAAATACACATACTATGGCTAATGGAAATTTAAAATTAAGGCTGGAAGAGCCAGTATTTATTTCGTACGAGATCAACGGATTGAATCTCAACCTCCTCACTCTGGTTAGAATAAGTTTTAGAACAACTCTCCTTCCCCTCCCGTATGGCGGAAATGGCGAAGTTGGGGGTAAACGATAAAAATATTCCTCTCTCCTAAAATTATCTCTGAAGACCTCATTGAATTACTTACAGTTTCAAGTTTTTCACGCCAATGATCTTTATCGAAACAAGTCAAAAATGACGAATTTATTCTCAACATTGTAAGTTGATGGAATGGAAAAGATAATATTTTCGAAAGATTAATACATCCTCGAGTCATTAATTAATCTATTCCCGTTAGTAGAAACAATAGGTTCCATTGTCTTCTGAGATAAAATATCTTTAAACTTAGGACCAATTCACCTGACTCCATCAACCATTCCGTTCATATCCAATGCCATAGCAATAGCAAGAAATGAAATAGCGGAGTTACACTGATAAGCGGCACCTTGTCCCTAAAGACTAACGTTAGTAATATAATAGTAGTGAATGATTTTTGTTAAAAACGGAGACAGTCTCACAGCTTCAAGTGAAAATAGTTTGTTGAGTTAGTCTGAATCCACCTAGATAGACAAGAGCGAACCCAGGTGTTGGTAGATATAATAATGATCCGATAATTCAATATTCAGCTGCCGTGAGTTGAACTTTCCTCAGCTATTAGCGAGAGAAAGTAAAGCGGTGATTAGGGGTTGACGGACCCGGCTGAGGAGGTTATTGACTGCCTCGCTTCGTGTCGAATTGTAGCGAATTGTTCCGTAGGTGGCCCCCCACACATATCCCGCCACAGAATAGCTCCGTCCTCCATTCATCTCGGTCACTGGTGGCTACCAATCGGGACTTTGTCCATCAATGACTATTGTTTTTTTGTCGGGAGATCGTCATTGTCTTGTAATAGCGATTCTGAGTGAAATGGAGAATAATGCAGTCACAGTTCTGATTCAGCAGGAGTAGAAATGATTAGACACAGTTTTCTCACATCGGCTTTTGTCGGCATCTAGATTCGTAATGAGTAATGCCACGTAGAGAATCATGTGCGGTGAAACAATATCACAGGGGTGGATGATTTAAATTTTTATTTTTATTCACCAGGTTATGCTGAATGCAGAAAAGTTAAAAATATTTGTTCAATACAAATAATTAATTTCGTTTTAAGGCACGAACCTCAGAAAAAAATAAAAATAACTCCACAACCCATGAAGATTCTTGGGTTCAATACTATGAAAAGAAGTAAGGTTCTGGTCAACTTTGGAGCAAGGAGATGATTTGACCGATCACGCTCAACCGGTCCTTAATTAATTAATGAGGAGTACCCTGTTTATATAGGCTGGGTGTGCCTCAGGAGGATCTCCGACCCAAGAATCGATCCACGGCCGATGAAACAGAATAAATAATTACCTGCTATCAGTCGGATTCAAACCCGAGACCTTCAGCTTTGGAAATCCTGTTTCACTGAGCTACCCAGCTTCCTTTTCAGCAAAATACAATAATACTTCAGTTAATAATAATGATCAGTATTTATTTTATTACAGTTCCAAGAGATTTTATACCTTAAATAAATTTTGTTTTGATGAAATATTAGGAGGGTGCCCCCCCCCCTGACCGTCTAAAAGCGGACCACCTCCATTCTACAAATTATACAACTGTTTATTTAATTGTACTGCTCATTGCTCAAATTGTACAACTGTAATTGACATGTAGATCAGGTTGTATTATTTTTTAGCAATACAAAATAATCGAAAAAGATCCGACAAATTCTTCATTTCTTAAAAAATCTATATTAATCATCGTATGGTATCATCGTTACTGCCCGTCTCGCTTTGTATAGGTATAATAAAATATTACACGGTCAATAAAAACTTTTTTATATATCAGAGAGGTTATTACAATCAAAACATGGAATGATTTCACTGTATCCGCGGTTC